TGCTGCGCATTATCTAATAGTAGTTCATTAAATGTTTCCAGATTAATTTCATCTGAGTGTACCACAAGAGTCGTAAACTTCTTCTGAACTTTTAATTGAAAAAAATCTTCGTGCCTTTTAGCTATTGGATCTTAAGAAGCGGCGGTATTTGATCTTTCTTCCTCGATTTCCTTAGCTTCAACTTGACTTTAACCAATACCAATGAGTGGTCACTTCCCATGTCTGCTCATTGTTTTGCAACCACATCCTGGAGGCCACTTCTTCATCACTTGTTAATGATGACATTGTCAATTTGGTTTTTCGTAGAACCATTTTGGGAGTTCCATGTTTTCTTATGGATATTTTGTGCATAAATATAGTCCAATCTATTATTAAGTTCTTGTTAGAAAGTCCACAGCCTCTCTCCATTGTTGTTACATTTTCTTATCCTTGCTTACCCATGATGTTTTCTCTGCCTTGTTTGCTTTTCCTTACTCTTGCATTTAAGTCTCCAGAGATAAATAGGACAACGTGAGATGGTGTATTGTCTACTAACTCTTGTAAGCTGTCATAAAGAGAAACTTTCTCATCATCTTCTGCATCATCTGTTGGTGTATAGCATACCACTACAGTAAGTTTGGCAAAACTGAATTGAATCTTGCTGTTATGATTCGTTCATTCACAAGCTTCCATTCTGGTAGACATCTATTTACTTATGTTGTGAAAATTGTTACTCTCCTACTATGATGTTTATCAGTTCTTCCAGAGTAGAGTGGTAGAGTATTTGATGTCCTGATACTAGTTGATTTGACCCCTTGCCTGTCCATCTAGTTTCACTTACTCCAAGGAGCTTGATCTTATAATGCTCCATTTCACTCACCACTAGCGGTAGTTTTCCTGTTTGGTAGAGGGTCGGCATGTACCAGCTAGCAGCCCGCTCTTTGTGTTATATTTGGTCGAATGACATCTACCAGGGTGAGAAATTAACTCTTCATATTATCAGTATCCTGAATGGTATCAATCCTTCTTACATCACTTTGTTCTCTGGTTAAGATTTCTGTACCTGACGTGGTTGACATGTAAGGGTTACTGGCCTTTTTATTACCCCCCCCCCTTGAACCAGTTGTTTTCTTTCAGAGTTGTTATCAAATCAAAGAATTTGTTATCAAAGAAATCAATGCACTTTGAAAAATAAAAAAAAATCTTTTCAAAGTACGTTTATATCGACCATATAAACGCACTTTGAAAAAAAAATGTGTGACTTGGTTAATATTCTTGCAAATGTTAGGTAAGATAAATAATTGAACCATTTTGATCATTTTCGGTGATAAGTTCACTCCTGGATGTGAAAAAGAGCGATTTTGATTTTCCCTTGCTTTGAAAATTCTCTCTTAAATATTTTACTGTACTTAATTTTTCGAGTTTGCGTTCGAATTTTATGTAAACTACAATTTATTAAAATTTTCAACGTCATACCAGCCATGCAAATACATATTTTTGGGTGTAGCATAGACATCGTACCGGGGGGGGGGGGAGGGCTTTGGCAAACAAATGTTTTGCAAAGATATACATAAAAAAGGCATTGAAAATGTTTGCTTACGTTGGGGGATGGGGTTCATTTTCAATTTGCTACCAACAGTTATGTATAAGAAAAAAAGAGTTGTTCTCAATGAGGGTAAATAAATACATGTTGATTAAAACGTTTCTCGAACGATATACTGTAAAATCACATATTTTCGTGGGGTCAAATTTTCATGGTTTTAGGAAAATCTTTTCGTTCATGGGGATTTGATTTCGTGGATCAAGAATTAATGAGTACATATGTTTGTAATATTTTACAATTCGTGGTGGACATGAATTCGTGGGTCTCGTCATACCTCGAAAACGAAAATTAGGCCCTAAATGAAAATTTGTGACTTCACAGTACTTATTACAAATTGATTTCAAATCAATTACTAAAATCTAAGTCAGAATTTTTTGTTTTAAACATATTTTTTTTCAAAGTGCGTTAAACGTCACAATGATAAAAAAAAAAAAATAGTTGATGTTCACTAGCTCTAAACGCCCTTTGAAAATTTTTTCGAGTTTGTCCCAAATTTAACACACTTTGAAAAAAAAAAATTTCCAAAGTGTTTAAATTTTTCAAATTATTTTGCCACACCGGGCTGTTCTTCCCTTTGATTATTCCATTTCCTTGCTTTCTTGCTCATCTACACAAATTTTCTGTCTGGATTTTCCTCCATAGACTTTGATTTTCTTAAGCCTTTCCATAAGGCAGTGCTGCTATTTGAGCTGGAACTAGGATTGCAGGCATATCCACATGCCGATGGGCCAATATGGCAACGCACTTTGAAAAAAATTACGCACTTTGAAAAATGTGGTTTTGATTAGGGTGATATATAGGTGGGTACAGTCAACTAATTGTTTTCCCATAGCCGACAATGTTAACATTTCTTCTCAAAGCGATGTCCCTAATTTTCGTTCAGCAGTGAGTGACCCCTCAAATCGAACCACACCAAGTTGTCTATCCGTAGTTAAAATCTCGAGGTGACATCAATCGCAACCTCTCGGGCTTTTCCGACTAGCGGAAAAAACGACCTCGAATGTATTTGGTAGACACCATGACAACCATCCCTCTTCACGATTTTTGAAATAAATGCATGGAGACCTTTTATCTGTGGAATATGGACTTTAACTTTATTCAATGCAATGATACTACCTAAACTATATTATAGAAGGGACTTCTAACTCCGTATATGCTATATTTTAATAAACAGGAAATGTATAGATTTTTAACATCCGGTGATGTTAATATATACTGAAAGGAAAAAGAAACGCATAAGAACATATTATGAATAAATTATTTGACTGACTATGTGGCCGAAAAATATGAAAATTTGTCAGATGAGTATTTTGGTTACTATGCACTAAAATCAAAAGTCAAAACTACTCAACCATGAAATGTATGGCGTCACGTAGGGGAAATGATAAAAGGTCAAAAACACATGCATGTTGATGATGATAATTTTGTGATAAACTTTTGCAGTGCCATACGATGCCTTAGAGTTGTAGAAATCGTTTTTGCATATTTGCAGTCAGTATAAATTTCTTGCAATCGTGGTATAGCTGAGGGAATCTATTGTGGGTTTAGTAATTGAATTCAATATTGCATAAGTGAATAAAAAGGCAAAAACATGCTGCTGTACAGATTGTTTTCAACTTTTCAACCAAATAAAAGTTTGGTTTTTTTTGGTTGTCAGAGAGTTAATTTAAAATGTTTCCAACCAACCATGACGGCGACGTTGGCGCGTAAAAACGTCACAACAAGATAGGGCTTTTCATCATGCCACCTCGGTTATTGTCAAGGCATTATAACTGAAACTGATATTTATACAGCAGACAATCATACTCATTTTTTTAATCCTTAATTGACAGAGACTCTCTGCTCTAATTTGGGCCGCGAGCTTGACCACTTTACTCGATTTTACTCTCAAACGCGCACGTACGCGTCGTTTGCGTGATTTTGATAAGCATTTCTACACTGGAAAATTTTAGTTAGTGTTTGTCGAGACTTTTTTACAAACATCCACGTTTACCAAACCAGCTGGATTCTGTAAATTCTATCCTAAATCGAAAATTCGTATTCGATTGATCGGGGGGATTTGTTAGCTTTGGGAATAATAAGCTAATCTCAGCCATTAAGACTACCATCGGAAGGGTTAAATAATAGTTTTCTGAAAAAGATAACTGCTCTGGTGAACTCAATGCACAGGAAAATCAAGTTTGTTACTGATGCGAAAGGGAGATTATGAGAATTTTTAGTTTTATTTTTGGGGGGTGTCGACATAATGAAATCAATATATTAGGAATTATCACTTACAATCAAACAAAATTTTGGTAGCTTGTTGATAAAAGATGGATTAAAATGTATGATAAAAATGGTTGAAAACATATTTGAAATAATTGTTTTAATTAAATTCTAAAGTTTAATATGCGTTTCTTAATCCTTTCTGTATTGCGTGGAGATATATATATATATATATATATATATATATATATATATATATATATATATATATATATATATATATATATATATATATATATATATAACATTTACCATGAAAAGAAACTCCTTATCAACACATATGAAGCTCAATTGCATCTTCGCAATTTTTCAAGGCATGAGTAATCAAGAAGGATTTCCAAATATACACACTGTACATGTACCTGGCCGTGTTCAAATGTCTGCATGCAGCCAAAAAAAATTACGAAGAAAAAGTTATGGAAATAAAAAGTTGAGTTTTTAGAGCATTTCTAACATATATATTTATTGAAGATATGATGGATTTTTTGGAAGAAGAAAGAAGAGGAATTGAATCAAAGGAGATGTTAATTTCTAATAAGCATAACATATCCAGCTATGTCCCAGTAAGTTTTTATATATTCGTTCACTTAAAATGGTATATGTATCTTGCTTTCTTCTTTTATCTAGTAATGTTTTTATATCTACGAAAGAATTTTTTAAATCAGTAGAGTATAGTTAATTAGAAAATATTAAATAGGAGTATAGTATAATATGAGATTTTTAAGTTAACAAACGAAGAAAGAGAGGTAATGTGAGTGCCACTTTTTAAATGGGTAGGGGATAAAAACAAGTTACGGACATGCAATATCTAAGGCAATTTAAAAAAAAATGTTTTTCTAAAAGTGGCCCAACTCGAAACTTTTTTGTCCCACAAGAAGCATTACTCCCCCCCCCCCCCCCCCCGCGCTCGAAAAGTAGGAAGGTATGTAGTGATCGGGATGTCCGTCCGCCATTCTTTACCGCCGTCCGTCCCTCTCTCTGTAGTCCGTCCGTATGTTGGGGGAACACATCTTTTATCCGCAACTCCTCATATGCCATTGAATGAAATTTAATGAAACTTTCACCAATTTTTGTTACATAGTGCCGTTGTGCAACCCTATCCTATTTTACTTTTAATCGAACAAATATTTCATCGGATGTCTTATCGCAAAACATGGACACTGCCATTCATTTAACAATATTGAACGTATCCTTCTCTTATTTGCAACTAAATATCTTAAAAAATTTAATGACACTTTCACAGATTTTTCATCACATAATGCCATTTTGCACCTCCTATTTTATTTTTTGGTCTTACACTTATTTCGAGTCTCCCAAAGCAAAAAATGAACTTTGCCACTATACTCCGGGTTTCATTTAGTGAGTTCAGTGCTTTCTTGAGGCTAACGCCTCGGCTTTTATCTTTCAACGTTTTTCGACCTCAGAGGTTTTTTTGCAACATTCACAGAAACGCTGACTTATTTCTTAACTACGAGGGTTGATAAAAAAATTCGCAAACTATCTCTATATCTACAAAACCACAATTCAGATTAGAATGAAATTCGTTACACACATAGTCATACACAAGTTCTATAAATAGCATATGCTGAATAAAGTTTTTCTTCTCGTTTGTGACGTCACAATGTGAAAATGACGTCACTACTTAGGTCACTCGTGACGAAAAATGGTTGTCTCAGTCGAACTCGTTAAACAAACGACTGTACAATTTATTGTATATCTTAGAAATCCCTCTACAGAATCATATAATAATTTGTACACAGTGTATTGAGATAAATGAGTTACTATAAATTCAATTAATGATTGGATTAATCGTTTTAGTGAAGGAAGGCTGATGGTTAAAAATGATACTTGTCATCTTACCCAGTGAAAGCAAGTTTGAAAAGATATGTATTTTTAATTAAGCAATTTGCTATCAAAGACCTCCAATTAGCACTTTGAAAAATAGTCGAATATTTGAACAATGATATAAGTATTAAATACCTAAGATATCGTTTACTTTAGATATTAAACATATAAGATATGATAAAAAGGATGCACCCATTCTCTATCCACCTTGAATAAAAGTCTCTCCTGAGACAGAAGATTTGTGTTTTAATGGTCGCCATGCTTCTTTTTTGGAAAGGATATTATTATCCATCCATTCTGCTGCCGAGATATGACCATTTCTGACAAATGAACTGTTCTTGTCATAAAAATTAACTCACATTGAAAGAAATATAAAACTCATAAAAATCTTTCAACTTTTGTGATAGAACGCTTCGTAGGGGGTCACGTGACCGCCAATATCACGTGATTCCGCATGCGCAGAACGGTGGTTGATGTGCATTAAAATCGGGGAGGATTAGTTTAAAATATAATCAACATTAAAATCAAATATTGTTTCTTGTATGGAAGTTATTCAATTAGTTTGCGAACTTTTTGATCACCCCTCGTAATCATATTTCATCATCTACTATTTAAACGAAACGCCTTTGGTATTATAGGTATGTAGATTAAAATTGAAAAATACTTAAAAAGTCCTAGATATTGACTGCGGCAATAAAGAGAATAAAAGTCATGTAAAGTACATGTACATAACTGTTTTTATTCACATAAAACTTCTTATTTATGTTTTATTTTGAAGCAATTCTTCGGGAAAAAGTTGGAGAGAAGCAGGTCATTACCAATTAAACTTACAGATTTGAAGGAGACTCACGGTTAGTTTTTCAGACAATCGTATATTTTCACGGCATTTTAAAAATCCTATCACATGCAGACCATTTACTTCATTTAATAATCAAATTAACTTTTTTATCTATACGGAATCTGGTCATTTATAATCTCGCGAAATTAACTTTTGTTATCATTGCAGAATATCCTAGATGTAATAGATTTTATCCGTTGGAAAGCTTTCCACACTTTCAGTATGTGTACAGTTTGGCATATGACTGCTATTGTCGGCTCAAGGAAGCCGATGTTCTCGGTCCAGATGAATTGGCTGCCTGTTCCTTGAAACAAGAACCAGAAGTTGTCATCAAAATAGGTTTTATTGGCAACCTTATGGAAGAAAGCTTAAAATGTGTGTCTAAAGTTAAAGGTATGGTGTAAAAAAGAAGGAGAGCTGTAACTTGCGTCTTCAAATCGATGTACATATGTAATTCTTTAATATTTAAGAATAATCTTAAAATAATTAAATTCTATATTTATTTACGTTAATTGTGAATAGGAAATGAAGAAGAAAATGGTAAAACTGTTTGGCCGATATCTCCACTTATTTGTTTTCAAAAGGATGTAAAGGTAATTATCCTCTACAATTGCATCTATTTATTGTTTTACATGTACAATTAAATTTCAATGCATTTTAAAACGTTGTTTTTACTTAAAGATTAGTGATCTGAAAGCATGCCACAAACTATTTGTGAATAAGGATGAAGACGAAATAGAGATAGTAATGGATTCTCATATCCATGTGGTTGAGTATGATGAAGAAAAATTACGCAAAGCAATCTCCATTTGCATAGAGAAAGGACTTGTCGATTACTTAGAGAGATCAATGAATGTGATTAAAAATTCAGAACATGGTTCACGGGAAGATCTGAGAGACTTTTATCTGGAAATGAAATCTATTATTAAACATGTTTTGGTTGAAAAAAGTACACAACAACATGCAAGTATGCCTACAGGAATTGATTATGGTAGTATACCATCAGAAATAAAAGATCTGCTTTTAAGGTAAAACATTATGCAAGTCAAAAAAGAAATTATTATAAATATTTAATGACTACATCACATTAAATCGTGTTGATGGATTTCGTATTATAATTGCTGGAGCTAGGACTGAGTATAAATGAATTTATAATTAAGGAATCAATCTTATTGCTAGCGCTCTCGAGCGCTAGCAACTACGTTAGTCCAAATTCCTTGAATACGCATGCTCGGCATCATGGTGGTGCATTCTGGGAAAACTGGGAAAACTACTATAGATAGAACATACGATAACAATTTCGCTGTATCAATGAATAACTGTGTTTACTTATTGTGTAGTTTACATTTAAAAGATAACTACGTAATTGCAATTTTTTTCTGACGGAAAAGCCCGAGTCATTATCTTATTGTTCTAAACAAAGACAGTGGAGGTTTTTTACATCTAAGCACAACCAAATATAGACTCTGATTTCTGATTGGTCAATTCAACCAATCTTACAAATTCCAGAAACGAGAATTTACACTAAAAATAACGAATAAATCCAGTATTTAAAAAAAAATTCTCTTGTGCATGGCTTTTTAAAACCTAGCATTTCTTGACAAAGATGACCCAAAGGACCAAGCTACTTCGCAACTTCACATTTGGAACTCTCTGGATTTCTTTATACAACATACACTTTGAGTTATTTCTATATTCATTTTAACTCCACAGTATTTTCTTTGTTACATTGCCGCGAAATTCTTTTCTTAAACCAGCTCATACAATGCCTCAATCGGCATCTTTACCATTTATAATTATATAGTCTCCCCCCTCTCCAGTTAAGGTCATAAATGTTCAGTTGCCCTAAAACACCAATAGGTCAACACCCCTCGTTTCTTTACCTATGCCTATAAAATACACTTCACAAAACAACTATATATTTTTATCACACTCCAGCCTCGATAAAAATTAAAGAATTCAGCAAAATAAATTACTTGATCACGGACCTTCCTTTCTGTGTTTAAAAATTGGTACGGCGCTAGCTCAACTATCTTTTTAAAGAGATAAACTTGTTTGAACCTATGGTATACAATATAACATGACTTGTGGCAGTAAACGCTTTCTAAGCTGCGAGGCAAATATCTGTGTCATGTTTTGTATTTTTAGTTTGACTTTCCTTTTGCAATTGAAAAAGTATATGTATACAACTTGTACTGTATATAATATCTATCCTCACTAAATAGATTTCATTTTTCAGAGAACCCAACGTCAATTCGTTCGGCATTTGGGAAGATGCGACCTTTAAGATATTCATGGATGAAACTGTCGATGTTGCTATCCTGATAGAAAAACTAAAAAGCAAAAATGAGAGGTTTTTTAAAAGATTTGAAGTACAAGTTGAGAAAAAGAAATTTACTACGAAGATTGCAACACAATTAAAACAAGGTGGGGAGCTACACAAACACACCGCTTCGGAGAAGGGGGTTGAATGCGGTACTTTAGGTGGATTCGTAAAAGACACTACAACCGCTGGAAACTGTAGTGATGCATATGCTTTGACATGCAACCATCTATATCCAACGCTGAATGAGCCAGCTTATGCAAATATAGATGGAGAGGAAAAGGAAGTGGGAAAATGCATTTTTACCACCCGTGAAAAATCTTGTGATTTTGCAGTTGTCGAAATCAGTAAAGAATTTTATGATAAATGCGATTTCAAATTTAGACGGGATGATGAGAAAACATGCAACGCAGAAGTTTCGGAATTTTTTCCAATAAATGTTGGAATTGTACATAAAAACGGTTCAAAAACAAAATGGACGCATGGCCGTGTAGTTAGTCTTGCATTCTATGATAAACTTAATCAAAGAGAAATTTTTGTTGTCAAAGGCTTAGGTCGTCCATTCTCTACTCCTGGTGACAGTGGATCGATTGTTTTTGCAAGAGACAATTCAGTGTCCCAAAATGCTGTTGATATTTTGGGAATGGTCTATTCAAATCATCCTGAAATCCGTGATGATATAAGCCACCCAGAGAAGGAAAAACTAGATGAAGCTTCAGGATATTCGGAAACAAATCTTAAAAAGGGAGATAAGAGTTATTCTACAGCCGTGGGCAAAACTAGAGGCGACCAGTTACGAGAAAAAATTATGAAGAATCCGGAAAACTACAGCTTTTGTTTTCGAATGAACAACGCTTTTGAGCTTTTGAAAAAAGAGAAAAACTTAGTTGTTAGTTTTGAAAGAGTAGAAAATACAGATAAGAGGGATGAAGATTGCTTTGCAAATTTAACAAAAAGCACCAATCTTTAAGCTATTTATACTCTTTATTTACATTATCTTTTCACAAAATATTACTCCTAATAACACAAACCATGTACATATATATTGTTACACTGACAATAAATATATCTGTAATCACTAAGAATGTCACTGCCATTGATCCTTCCTCTTTTCTCTAATACAAGACCGCATCGAGTCTCTGGAACTCACTGCCTTTTAAGCTTAGAGAATGTGTTTTTGTTTATGCTTGCAAATGCTAAATTAAGGTCTTTTTAATGATTAATTAATAACAATTTGAATTTTAGTTGACAAGATGCAAGACAGATTTAATTAAAGCTCTAAATACGATTCTATATCTAAAAATGTAAAATATGAATGACGCCAATACATATGCATAAGCATGATAGTGACTTCCTTTGTGAATCAACCTGCACTAAGAGAAAAACATCCGTGTGTGGACCTTTGAGCATAGGAATTCCAATCGAGAGCATGTACTTAGTATCTTTAAGGAACTATTTACCTGATTTTTTAAAAATTAAAAATCATGTGAAAAATTACTGTACATACAGTTTACACTGCAAATGATTAATCAAACAAAAGTGATTTTCGTGACACCAATTTTAAAAGAAGCATCTTTGCTCATCATAATCATGCATGCAATTAATTTCTTTGTTTAATTTACAGAGGGAAAGAAGTTTTTCAAAAGAATATATGTAATTTTAAAACCTGATCAACAGAACACCACCGTTCCTCCTGACCCTGGGGCCGTAAATTTCTCAATTAATGCACAGGAGTTCGTGTACATATCAATTTGACCGAATTTTTAGTAAATAAAAAAAAATACGTTATACCTATAATAATAACAACACAAGGAGTGCAACGCATTTTAGGTCACTGGGAAACCCCTCGCTTATTATCAAGGTTGTCGTACAATTTATATTCAATCGAATATTATAAAACACAAACCAATCTTTTTGGAAGGGACCATTCTTTATGCCTCTTAATGCATATGATTTCGAACGCATGTTGTACAACAGCATCGGTGACGTTTCTCCACGACTTCGCTCAAATATCCGTTGTCCGCGACGCCATTTCGTGACGTCACGGACGCGTCCATTTACCCAAAAAGGAACAAAACTGCCTGAGATGCTAATCTAGAAGATTGAGGTCATATACGAAAAGAAACCAGATACAAGTCAGTAGAAATTCCAGAGAATTTAAAACGGGGAAGTACAAGTACTTGTACTCGTATCTAAAGGTAATATCTTTATCTCTAGTTAATTGTGTATGATTGTTTGTTTTTTGTTCCTTTTGGGTAAATGGACCGCCCGTGACATCACGTTATGGCGTCGCGGATAACGGTTTGCACTCCTTGTGTTATTATTATAGGTATTATGTAATTTTTTTATTTACTGAAAATTTCAGTCAAAATGATGGGTACGCGAAATCCTGTGGTTTAGGTAAAAAATTCATCAAGACAACAGTTTTATTGCTTGACGTCTCAGGGTAAAGAAGTCTTTTAAATACTGTAGATATGGTTAAAATCTTTCTATGATTTTTCACCCACCCCTTACATCCCTGTGATGGCATCGACCATGAAATTAAAAATTTTGTACCCCTTTGCGCAAATACATGTACATGTATTTTATATACAAAAATTAGCTTAAATTGGTTCAAAAGAAGCTGAACATGTTCTAAATTTTACGACCGCCGAACGACGCACACTGGCGGGCGAAAACATATTTCAATAGATCACCTGATTAACAACCGTTACATGTTTCCATATAAAAAAAACTGCTCTCTCCTCTGTTTTGGTGCTATATATTACGCCAGTGTATATAAAACTGTGTTGATGAAGCTTGTCTACAATGGTCGATAACTCTGAAGAGCAACAAAAAGTGCAGATGTTAAAAACAACGAAAAATGTCGTAATTTTTACCGAAATTGCCCTGTCATACTTCGAAATCCTTAAGGTAGGTCACTCGTCAGTTTTTTGGAAAAGTTCACGCAGAACCTCTTACTTCAAAACTATTTATCAAAATTCAATTTTTATAATATATTTAATTTCATCAATAATAATGTTTTAACATTCAACAAAAAACTACTCAAAAAACTACAAATAAGCAAGATTTGTGAGGGACTATTTTTTTTGGTGGAAGGATATTTAGCAGAGAATTCTGCAAATCTGCACATTTATTAAATTTAATATCTTGGACTTTTAGCCTCACATACTTTTACTCGGAGAATATTTTCCATTATGAAATTGCTAAGAATATTTAATATTGGTCTTAATTTATATTTTTAGAACAAGTTTCACACCTTCCTTCAACAAACTTTGCCAAAAAATGAAGATATATCAAATAAGTCAATATAAAATTAACACCATATTTTGCCTGAAAATCACATATTTAGACCAATATTTCAAAATTAACATCACTGACCCAAATTTTTTTCTTTCAATATTTTAAAGTACTCGATAGTTGTTGCTGATCAGCACTTAAGTCGTTAAAAGCTTGATTTAAGAAAACAGTTTATTGCCTATTTAGTTGCTTAATACCCCAAAATATGTTACTTTTTAGTGCAAAAAGGTCACACAATAATTTACGCGCATTAATTTGCAAGATTTTTTCAATGATAAAAATTTTTCAAAATATTTTACGTAAAATAAGATGATATTTTTAGCCTTGGTTACATCTGATAAAATATAATAAAGGTTTAAGTAATGAACCTAAGACTTAAAATTTAAGTGCAAAAATGTCAACTTCATTGTACCGTAGATCAGTAAGATGAACACTGACCCCCTATTTTCTCTGCGATTTTGAGTCACTCTATATGAGTACTTATCCAAAATATACTTCTCAATTAATCATTGATTTAACAATTTTCACGAGTGACATACCTTAAATAGCAATAACAACACAACAAATAACACGGTAAATACATTCATTAATGAAAAGAGTTCCGAATTATTGAGTGAGAAATCTGGAGAAGAAAAAAAACTTTTCACAAAGACTTTTTTAATCTTCAATTATATCCCTGGATGTTTCCTTTGGTACAGTTCTCTGTTAACCTTGGACTTTCGGAAAGGTGTGGTATTCTCGACCTTACATAATTGATAGAAATTCGGGCGAATGTCAACGAGTGTAGCAAATATCCAATAACAGCGTTATGGCAAACAAGTGGACTCGTCGTTGTTAACAACAATTTAAAGTTTAATGTTATTAATTTCTGAAGCAATAAGAATCTTTTTTAGCACCGAGAATGCCATGCGTTACTGAAAGTCCAAGGATGACAGAGAATCGTACTATCTCACTTTCTGCAATAACTGTCGGATATCGACGAGAATCAACAACATTATGTTACAAAATGTATTGATGCTTAACACTGATTCTTCTTTACTTCACTGTAAACAGTTATTGAACGAAAGATCATATATATTAAGGAACCCCTTAATCAGACCCAACCTCGTGAACGTCTTTATCTTACTGTTTACAGTAACTTTACGATATGAAGGATCACCAGAAACAAATCAAAGTACTGAAAGTACTCATGGGAGTTGAACCTTGTTATCTGAAAGATCTCACAGGAAGTATAGGAACAGTTTCATGCTTTTCAGATTTAAGTTAGCTAGAACTGATTTGTTAGAGATATAACACGAAATATTAAAAAAAATTCCATTGCATTTGAATAGCCAAGATCATGGGACTGCTCTTAAATTAGCTGCAGAAGTGAACTGTAGCTCTCCGAAAAAAATGATTTTGACAGAACGGAGAGCTACAGTGCCATCAATTGAAAAAAAAGTAGTATATTTATTGCGCACGAACAGTTAAGTTTAGTTCTGGATTTATTCTTTCTTAAATTCTTACCTCAACAACTTGACCAAACCAAACAAACAACACCAACCAACAAAATAAATAATTTTTCCAGACTCGAAAATACTGTGAAATCACACATTTTCGTGGGGGTTTAATTTTCGTTGTTTTCCAGGTATGAAGAGACCTACGAATTCATGTCCACCACGAAATGTAAAATGTTACATACATAACTTCTCAACAATTCTTCATCCACGAATTCAAATCCCCATGAATCAAGAGTTTTTATCCAAACCACGAAAATTTGACCCCTCGAAAATATGTGATTTTACAGTACAATTTTGTGGGTAGGTTTCAAACTTCTTTCAGTACCATTTATTACTCAAACTCAAACACTACCCTTATATTTCTGAAGCATTTGAACCAAAAGGTCCCCTATTCTCTTTAGAATGTGTACAAGATATTTGGTCCCAAGAAAAAAAACAACAAACAAACACTCTTTATATTCGATGTTACCATCACCAGACACTAGATTGTCATTTTTCTTCCTCTGATTAAAACATCTTTTGCTATTCTCTTTTGGGTATGAATGTTTCTTTTCGGACAAAATAATTTACCAACACCTTAATAAAAACGAAATGCAAAATGATGCAGCTTTTATGTGCATAAATATATTCCAAAATCAATTTCCTACAACACGTGCTTAAATACAACGTGGCTCTTTCAATTATATTATCATAAATAATGCTGGAAAAACAATCAAAATTTAATGCCATAATGTGAAAAACAATAAAATCATAATATTATATACATATCACTCTCAAAGAAATATATATATGTTACAGTAAATATGTGTAATCAGAAATTTCATGTATTTCCTGAATTTTATGAAATACATGAAGTTCCTATATATTCTGCTTAGAGAATACACGTATTTAAATCGGTATTTAATGATATCAGTTAGGAAATACACGCATCTACTGAACTTTTCAATATTTTTAACACATACATGTATCTAGTGACTTTGCTTTGATGAGATAATACAAAAATTGAATAATAAAATATGAACAGATGCACAATTCATTCAATGTTTATATCAGTGAGCATATCATATGTGAATACATAATAATTGAAATAAACCTTTATTTATATATGAATTCAAAAAATGCATTATTTGTAAATATTAACCAAAATCCATTTTGATACTCTGCTTTCATTTTCTGGAATGTGTTTTCTATATCATAACATACAAGGGCTGTTAGAAAAGTTCGCGGACAAG